AGAGAGAGAGAGAGAGAGAGAGAGAGAGAGAGAGAGAGAGAGAGAGAGAGAGAGAGAGAGAGAGAGAGAGAGAGAGAGAGAGAGAGAGAGAGAGAGAGAGAGAGAGAGAGAGAGAGAGAGAGAGAGAGAGAGAGAGAGAGAGAGAGAGAGAGAGAGAGAGAGAGAGAGAGAGAGAGAGAGAGAGGAGAGAGAGAGAGAGAGAGAGAGAGAGAGAGAGAGAGAGAGAGAGGAGAGAGGCAGAGAGAGAGTCTGATTCCAGATACAGATCCTTCCCTGGCCTTCTTCTGGGACCCGTGAAGATCCGGGGTCAGGGCTGCTGACTGCCACAGTGGTCCCCAACGAGACGACCCCACACACCAAACACTGTCAGGTGTACCTTGATTATTTTACAGACCGTCTCTGTTGTTCTGCAGGTATTGCTGGAGAGTGGTGTGTAAAAACTCGATTTCTTTCTGTGAGGAGTGAAAGTGATATATCTTGATATACAATCTCTATGCCGCTCTGTGTGGATTATATATATAGGGAGTGAGAGGGGAGAGGTGTATAATGGTTATATATTTTTCCAGTCAATGGTTTCCACATTTTGCTAGCCAAATGGGCTAGCTATGCCTGAAAATGTATAGTCTACAAAATAATTCCACTATCCCGAAATTTGAATGTAGAAAGCAAGCAAAGATAGACGGGAATAATATGTTTGTCGGCATGACTACGGGTTTCACCATTAAGCTGCTAATATCGTGAACATTTTCCCCGAGGGCCATCAATCTTCACATGATCTAAAAGTGTGTTATAACTTTAACAAGTCGGAGAGAGGTATATTTATGACCCTGAAAATTCAATTTTTTGTAGTGACTGTGAAGATTTACTGGCCATTTACTGATGGTATGCCACGGGCTAGCCAGTGGCTATTTAAACGTGTGTGGTTCTGGGAAGGCTAAAATTTCTTTTTCAGATGTCCCAGGAAGAATACAAAATGTATATTTCTGGATTTCGGGAGAGCTAATTTCCACGGTATGTAGGGAGAGTACCGCCAAAGCTAAAGATACGGTGCCGGGAAGCATAATCCATGTCGGAATAAATAGATTTCTTATCAAAACAATTCGTTAATTACTATCTGTACTCTGTACTGTATAAATAATATTTTGCAAATCTGCACTTTTCGATGAGTTGCACAGATCACTAAAGAGAAACCTAATAGCCTTATCATTTTTTCTTTGTTTTATAACTATTAGATAATCTAGTGGTAATTCCTGCCTTAACCATATTCAGTTAATCCACGTTCGCCAAAATACCTTTTAACCTTGATACGCCCATTTTCTTACACCACAGGCTCCCCGCCTCATACACAACACGCACAACAACCCTGTAAAATGCTATTTTCAGATTGACAAGAAGCGTACACCAATATTTAACTACCATGCTATATTGCCTTTTACATATGAGCGGATAACGACCTAACTTTTCCATAAAACCATGGAATTACATGCTTTACTTCTTAACTCCTGAAAACCTTTTGGTAAAAATCCAAATGCAACCTTTCAAAATTTAAGCCTTTATTATATCCCATATCTCAGACGCAAAGATAGTATACTACCAACATAACGATCAAAGACAAATAAAATACATTCCAGGTTGGAGAGAGAGCGACCTGATATTATTGCAAATTGAAAAAGGGGCCATCCTACCCTGGTCAGACAACTGCAGTTGTGCCTTTGAGAATCGGTTATTATATGAGTAAAACCTATTCCTAAATGTAAAGGTATCGCCAACCTCTAGGACACAACCATTATATATAACCAACGTTCTGACTATTTAACTTTACCAACTCTTCCGAAAGACCATTATCTTTGTTTTAGCAATATTTACTTCAAGTTCCCACCGTGTGGAATAAGTTGACAACGATTTCCACTGTGTTTGCAACCTTTCAACAGATTCAGAAAAATAACAAGATCTTCAGCATGCATAAGCAGAAACATATTTAAAGATTTTAAACTCGTGAGGTACATTTTATCTTTAGGAAAGACTCCTCAAAATGAACTATCTAATGTCGAATTAAAGAAAAATGTGTAATGGAGAATAGACGTGAAAATGTGTACATAACTTTATTTATATTTTTATATGTGTTCAAATTAAAGAGCGTCCCTGTTAATCCTATTTTCTGTGTACTTTATCAGAGCCTCCGGAGTGAGGCGCGCTGTGTTCATTCAGCCATAACATTGTATTGCAAGTACTCGCCAAGGCTACACTCATTGAACCGAAAAGCGTGACGATTTTAGCCTTATATATAACACCTCTCCTGTCTTTCATTCTGTGTGGAGTTCTGTGTGATGTCCATCAATCCTAGTATTTTGTTCTCAAAACTTTATTTCATGTAATTTGTTTGGTCTCAACCCTGAGCCGCATTCAGTTGAACGACGCAAGTCATTTAGAAAATAGACACAGGTATAAGTGCAGCAAATTGGTTGACAAACACCCGAATATGGAAAAAAAATATTCATACCTAATTACAATCAAAATTATTTCAGAAACACAAATTAGTGTTTGAAATATTTTAAATAATGTATATACGATTCTGTGGTATTATTGTGACCACAAAGTGATGAAGAAACAGAATTCATTTCAGATAGATAATCCTTTCAAACAGGATGACATTTTGTTTCCATTTTTAAAATAACACAATTAATCGTCCCTATTACATGCAAAATGAATAATACGGTTGACAAGTATAAAATAATTAAGAAAACCAAAGATTTTTTTCCAAATTATAGTGGAGAAACAATTAGGGTTACATATTCGAAAATGAATCTGGAAATGGTAAATGTTAATTTGTATTTCTTCTAAAAAAACCAGAAGCAAATCATATTCCGCACATCAGTGGCTTTAAGTTTTAGCGTTAGCCGGGAGCAGTACCGCAGCAAATCGGGTTTCACGAAATTGTGGACTGTTTATCCCAGTTCTGGTCGTATCCCAGTTCTGGTCGCTACACACGCCTCCTTGGAGATTCACGGGAAAACAAAACTTTAGGATGTTTCTCGCGTCTACGATCATGCATTGGAGGCTTGTCCACAAACGCCAAGAGTATTATTCTTTCTCTATTTGCTTTGCTTGGACACCTGGTGACGTCGCTGGTGTTGCCGGTATGGGCGTCCACGTTTGATGAAATTGGAAGTGACGTATTTGTTGGACAGTTCGTTGATACGTTCTGGGAGCTTCTGATCCTTTCTGCAGTGTACCTGGCATGGAAGTGTTTCGACAGGGAGGTGCCTTTGAGGCCAACTGTCAGTTTGAAATCTTTGGCGATTTATGGCCTCACAAATGCTTTGACTGGAGCCTTCATCGTCTTTGCAAGCCTTCCAGAGAGAACCCTCCGTATTTGCAGTCAATCATCGGATCCTCTCTGATACCATTTACAGTTATTTGTAGATACATAATGCTCCAGAAAAGGTATGTAGAGAATTACAGAAGAGTGAGTGAGTGAGTGAGTGAGTGAGTGAGGTAGGTTAGATTTACGCTGGGACATGATGACACGTGTCAACCAAGTCAGCGAGCCTGACCACCCGATCCCGTTAATCGCCTTTTACGTCAAGCATGGGTTACTGAAGACCAATTCTAAATGTTTTAAAGGGCTAAGACGTTTCAAACTACAAATAATTAGCATATGATGAGCTGAGACTGTGAGTCAAGGTTATTAAAACTCAGTCATATTATTTTGTACATATATTGACTCTTTGCACAAGATGTTTGTGCATAGTGCTAGATAACATAAGTGCTAGATTACATAACACAAAAAAAGTTTGCCAAAGTTATGCTATACTTGGCTTTCCTCTCGCACTGAGCATCTAATTCGATATTTGTTATTCAACACTGCTCACTCACTCTAAACTGATCAGGGCGGTGGGGTAGCCTAGTAGTTAAAGCGTTGGCTCGTTACGCCGAAGACCCGGGTTCGAATCCCCACATGGGTACAATGTGAAGCCCATTTCTGGTGTCCCCGCCCTGATGTTGCTGGAATATTGCTAAAAGCGGCGTAAAACCCAACTCAGTCAGTCAGTCTAAACTGATAACTTGTGACATTGAAGGTCATTGTTTACAGTTGTATGGTTTCTGTTTTAAAGATGATGCATCTGATCAGTAACAGAATGATCAAATGTTTTAATGTACACACAATGAAGCATCGAGATATATAATGATATATGCAGCTTGATAATTCACCGGAATGAATTACTAGTATTCAAATTTATGGTGTCATACAATCACACTGTGTTTCAGATAGTTGTCAAATGTAGCATATGTTTTATTTAGGATTACACCTACAGATATTACACTTACTCAGTGTACACTTTCTCAGCAAAGTACTCAGAGAGTGTGGATACATGACCTATTTTATGGATGACAACTTTTTGCTATTTTTTATACAACTTTTCTTGCTCCGTCATCAGCTGAATGATGTATTCATGTTCGTCCACAGAGTTAATATGTATTGATGGAACATGTATTGATGTTCGTCCAACTTCTAAATGCCTTTCAAGAACTTCTGAAAGTGTGGGTTCGACCCCAAAACGTACTAGAATCTACTTTATTGAAAAAATGTAATCCCAAACATGACATATGTTGCATACAATGCACTGACATTGACATTCTTCCCACAAACAGTTTATTCTGGCATGTCTGAAGGACACATATCTGCATATCATACTGGATGTCCAGACGTGCGATGGAGCAAACATCAGCTACACATGCATACATGGCTTTATTTATTAGTACTAATTCATCCATTCGGCTTAATTTTCGTTTTCGAATCATCCGTCTTTTGACACCATGCGTTTGTTGCAGACAAGCGGGGTAACTCCCGTTTGCAACATAATCGAAATATGATTAATGACACGAACACTATGATTCTGTCACAATGTTCGTCACAAAACGTGCACTATAGCTTTATGAATAATATAAACTTCCTTCGAAATTGGTTTGGTAAATAAATGCTTCGTTTTTTCAGGTGTGAGCTTGAGAAGAGCTGTTTGCATAATAATTGCAATGATAGGACTCTTTATCACAATGGAACCTCGTATCTGGGGCCTGAAAGGAAGTAGCGGAACCGGAAGTAGCAAAGGAAGTGACACAGTGGTCTCCCCTGTTGGACGAATTCTTTGGCCCCTTTCATTTTGCTTTGGATTCGTCCCAGACGCAGTTAACAGAGTCATCACAGAGCAAGAACTGAAACGCCCACAAGTTAGCTATACTTCTTTCAAATTTTAGAAAATACTGTTCCAGTTTTACATTGGGTGTGTTTTTGACAATGAAAGTTCAACTGACGGACTTTGAGGGACAATGAGTTTTGTCTGTGGTCGTTCATTCTCAGCAATGGCCTTGCAGAGTTGCGTTCGAAATTTCGACGTGCATCACAAACCAATGTTCGTCCTCTCAATGATTGTTGTTTTGTCAGCCCCACTTCTGAGCAGGTGGGTTTTACGTTTATGAACCTCATCACTTCAGATGTCTTCCCAGAGCAACTAATGACAACTTGATTTAAAAGATGTTAACCTACTAGCACCAGGTGCAACCTAGTATAAAAACCTAGTTGCATCAGCCAAATTCCAGTTGCAACGTAGTGTGTTAAAACATCAGAGGTTTCGGTGCACATAAACATATTTCTGTCATGTAGTGCCATTGAAACCATAGCAACACAGATACACAGCTGATCCCTGTTTACAATATTGAGCTATCATAGCCGCGACGTGTCTATGAATAGCAATGTTTCGTTGCCATAGCTATTCAAAGTTTAGAACAAAATGGAGCTGACATTTTTATGCTTATATTGTTAGATTTATTGTTGATTTATTTCTCAAAAATTACTTGCACCTGGTGCAAGTTAGACTAATAACTAGGGTTGCACTTTGCAAAATTGGGTTGCACCAGTGCAAGTAACAAAGCACTAAATCGAGCCCGGTAATGTAACTGACCTTAAATGAACATGAACAAGAATACGAGCGTACGTGTTACATTCAACGTATAGTAACTCTGAAAACTAATTTCCCAAAACATATGATCTATAAGTGACTAGTGGTACTTGTATGACAATGTGATGGAATTGGGAACATATCACAACCACTATGGAAGTATGACAGGAGATTACGGAAGACAGTGGTGAGATTTCAAAAGTTGACACTCCCCCCTCCTACCCGTGAAGATCATGTCATCGTATCCCAATTGCATCGATGGATGCTGGTGCTATTGATCACTGGATTGTCTGATCCAGGCTCGTTTATTTACAGACCTCCGCCATAGCTGGAATATTGCTGAGTGCGTCGTTAATCATCAAACGAACGAACACTTCCACTCCTCTAACGACGTCCAGGGTGCCGTTCCACTAACCGATCTTAGCCCTACGCCAATCGTAAACCCCTAAAATCCCAATCTTAGCGTGACGTTACGATCGGCATACCGTTCCACTAACCAATCTTACCCAAGTCAATCGTAAAGTTAAGATTCAAAGTCTAAGTTGCTCATGACCAACTTAGGATAGCTAAAATCAATCGTAGAGAAACCAAAATGGTGGCTTTCCTATTCTATGTGAAAAATAAGAGCGAGCATTTCACCGTGAGCGTCCCCTAAAGTCCCCCATGAAATGAATTTGTATATTTCTGTGATGTAAACAAACACTGCACTGAAGCCTTACAAATGTCAGGCCAGTCTGACCACTGTCGTCATGGGAACACAACCGAGCGAGTCGGTGTAACACATTTGTACAACAATATTGCAACGTCATGGTTAAGAATAGGGACAGCCGTGAAGTGAACAATGTTCTGAAGCAAAAGATACAAATATGTTTGATTTCACTGCGCATATTTTGTGGGGGATTCTAAAGGCAGGCCGCGTGTTATTCAAGACCACTGACAGATTTTACATACGTTATAGCCTCGTCACGCCTTGTTTATTCTGACTGACAAGGTTCAGGCACATATTAAAAGCTCTGACACAATTGACATTTTTAAAGTCCAGACTTAAAACCTGTTCTCAGTATATTACTTATAATCTCGGCTGTAAATATTCTCGTGTAAATTATCTGTACACAGCGCTTTTGAGCATGCCCAAGGATGTAGAATAGGCGCACTATAAATATGCATTTATTATTATTATATTATGCTTGATACCCAGCGTTCTCACGCACTTGCACCTGAAACCAAGGTGCTCACTACCTAATATTTTGCTCTAGTTTTTTTCTCCACGTTTACACTTGGTTGGAAAAATACCCATGAAGGCCCAGATTAGAATATTGAATATAGAACAAGTTTTATGGATAACAACTTCTTTATTTCGTGAGTGCGACGTTTCGATACAGATTCTTGTACCATTGTCAAGCAAGACAATAGGGACAGCCGTGACAACGGTACAAGGATCTGTATCGAAACGTCGCACTCACGAAATAAAGAAGTTGTTATCCATAAAAACTTGTTCTATATTGTACGTCTCAACTTCTAAAATGCCACTCAAACAAGTTAGAATATTGAACTTCAATAACCCATGCTTGTCGTAAGAGGCCACTAACGGGATCAGGGGGGTCAGGCTTGCTGACTTGGTTGACACATGTCATCGGTTCCCAACTGCGCAGATCGATCCTCATGCTGTATATCACTGGATTGTCTGGTCCAGACTCGATTAATCATAGCTAAGATACATAGCGTTCACTAACATGAATGCTCGTGTTAGTGAACGCTATGCATCTTAGCTAGATTATTTACAGACCGACGCCATATAGCTGGACTATTGCTGAGTGCGGCGTAAATCTAAACTCACTCACTCACTCACTCAGTTGGTTCGTAAACTACTTCCATCATTTGCTAGACAATGCAAAGGGAGATAACTCGTGCCTCGAATTCCTCTGTCTCTCGCACGAAAGAGTCTCGATCTAAGCTTGGATCGGATCGTAAGATCGGGACCGGCTACGATCGGCCTAAGATCGGTTAGTGGAACGGGTGTAACTTTTAGCTAAGACGATTGTAAAACTGGCGTACCTTGCTAAGATTGATCTTAGATAAGAACGGTTAGTGGAACGGCGCCAGTGATTGGCGTTGACGCACACTTCTCCCTGTCATGTCCAAGGCGTGTTCAGTGAGGTAAAGGTCTGGGTGCCGTTCCACTAACCGATCTTATCTAAGATCAATCTTAGCAAGTTACGCCAATTTTACAATCGTCTTAGCTAAAAGTTACACCCGTTCCACTAACCGATCTTAGGCCGATCGTAGCCGGTTCCGATCTTACGTACGATCCGATCCAAGCTTAGATCGAGACTCTTTCGTGCGAGAGATACAGGAATGCGAGGCACGAGTTATCTCCCTTTGCATAGTCTAGCAAATGATAGAAAGTAGTTTACGAAGTGAGTTTAGATTTACGCCGCACTCAGCAATGGTCCAGCTATATGGCGGCGGTCTGTAAATAATCTAGCTAAGATGCATAGCGTTTACTAACATGAGCGTTCATGTTAGTGAACGCTATGTATCTTAGCTATAAATAATCGAGTCTGGAACAGACAATCCAATGATCAACAGCATGAGCATCGATCTGCGCAAATGGGAACCGAAGACATGTGTCAACCAAGTCAGCGAGCCTGACCACCCTTACGACAAGCATGGGTTATTGAAGTTCAATATTCTAACCCGGGCCTTTATGGGTATTTTTCCAACCAAGTGTAAACGTGGAGAAAAAACCTAGAGCAAAATATTAGGGTAGTGAGCACCTTGGTTTCAGGTGCAAGTGCGTGTGAACTCTGGGTATCAGGCATAATATAATAATAATAAATGCATATTTATAGTGCGCCTATTCCACATCCTTGGGCATGCTCAAAGCGCTGTGTACAGATAATTTACTCGAGAATATTTACAGCCGAGATTATAAGTAATATACAGAGAACAGGTTTTAAGTCTGGACTTTAAAAATGTCAATTGCGTCAGAGCTTTTAATATGTGCCTTAACCTTGTCAATCAGAATAAACAAGGCGTGACGAGGCTATAACGTATGTAGAATCTCTCAGTGGTCTTGAATAACACGCGGCCTGCCTTTAGAATCCCCCACAAAATATGCGCAGTGAAATCAAACATATTTGTATCTTTTTGCTTCAGAACATTGTTCACTTCACGGCTGTCCCTATTCTTAACCATGACGTTGCAATACTGTTGTACAAATGTGTTATACCGCCACGCTCGGTTGTGTTCCATGATGACGACAGTGGTCAGACTGGCCTGACATTTGTAAGGCTTCAGTGCAGTGTTTGTTAACATCACAGAAATATACAAATTCATTTTATGGGGGACTTTAGGGGACGCTCACGGTGAAATGCTCGCTCTTATTTTTCACACAGAATAGGAAAGCCACCATTTTGGTTTCTCTACGATTGATTTTAGCTATCCTAAGTTGGTCATGAGCAACTTAGACTTTGAATCTTAACTTTACGATTGACTTAGGTAAGATTGGTTAGTGGAACGGTATCTAAGATTGGGATTTTAGGGGTTTACGATTGGAGTAGGGCTAAGATCGGTTAGTGGAACGGCACCCAGGGCTCATTGCTAGCCATTCTACAGATGCTGTGCTGTGCTGTAGGTGAGCAATGACGACTCGTGCATTGTGATCACTGGCGTTGTCGTCCTGAAAGATGATTTGCAAATTGGACAACAAAGGGTGTGGGTATCCTGTCCTGGTAACATTGCCTAATCTGTCATGATCAGTGAAGATCCGTGTTATAATTGGTCTTCAGCAACCCATGCTCGTCATAAACGTGATCGGGTTTGTCAGGCTCGCTTATCCAAGTTGCGTAGATTGATGCTCAATTTGTTGATCACTGGATTGTCTGGTCCAGACTCGATTATTTACAGACTGACGCCATATAGCTGAAATATTGATGAGTACGGTGGCAGTAAACAACAAACAAACGGAAAAGGATAAACAGAATCAATACGGTTGACAGGTATAATGATCCACAGAGATTCACCGACCACCCGGGGAGGTGGGGAAATCTAGTGGTTAAAGCGTTCGCTCGTCACGCTGAACACCCGGGTTTGATTCCCCACATGGGTAGAATGTGTTAAGACCCATGTCTGGTGTTCCCCGTCGTGATATTGCTGGAATAGTGCTCAAAAGCGGCGTAAAACCATACTCACTCACCTACCACCGTTGAAAGAGTCAAAAGCAGCAATGACACCCTTCTGTGTGTCGCGCTTCGGGAGGCAGATGCAAACGGTCGGGAGGTATTTTGTTGTTAAATTTTACAGATCTAAACGTTCTTGCAAATGATATTTGTCTTCAGCACCTGCTTTTGTTTATGATAGATTTATTAGCATTTATAGTTCATAATCATCTTTTGCTTCAGGAGGGTATTTCTCACCTTGCTGCTTCTGTAATATCGAACATGTTGTGTTCTAGGCCCAAACCGTGAATTTTCTGGTGTATGCTCAGCTATCGGCCTTAGTGTTTGTCGTACTTCTGTTCTGGGCAGACCTCATTCCTGGATTTGGAATGGTAAGCATTTCACATTATCCATTTACCAAGAAAACCAAGATATCTTTAAATATAACACAAGCACTAGGATTTCATTACAATTACCGCGAGCACCAAAATCTCCTTCATATTGCAGCGAACATATTAAGATCTCATTGAAATTAACTCGAGCACTAAAATCTGGTTTGAACGTGATTGCAGAAATGTCATTTTGTTTCTATTGAAAAGGACAAATTTCGAATTATACAATCCATGTGATGACGTTCATAATAATATTTGATTGTACTAGCCTTTTTGCTCATTTCTTATAGAACTTCTGCCTACCTAGAAAAACTCCCACGACACCCCGTCCTTTCCGCGCAGGGAATGTGATGGAATATTGATCAATGACTTACAAATGTTGAACATCAGCGTTTGCATCTTTATTGTTCCATGTCGTAATCATCACTGCCCCTTAAAATACATGAATGTCAAATCAAAATTGTGAAATTTGAATTTTTGATTTTTTTCGTCGTGCTCATCAGAGCTTTAAATTTCGTGCGACTTTGGTTTAAGAAGGGTGCTACCGGTGGGGCAAGTTTTTGCGGAATTTTTTTATCATCCCTATTTGACAATGATTCATATTATGAATAGCGCATTTTTATTATATATACTGATGGAAACGAATAAGAGAACACATGGAAGTACACGCGTTCCAATATTTATTTCATGATTTTCCCCCACAGTTCAATACAAAGTATGCAAAGAAACCTTGAATAAATTTAGTAACACTTGTACTTTAATGTGTTTCCATCAGTATATTTATTCTGTACATGGGGTGGTGGTGGGATAGGCTAGGGGTTACAGCGTTCGCCGAAGACCCGGGTTCGATTCCACACATGGGTACAATGTGTAAAGCCCATTTCTGGTGTCCCGGCGTGATATTGCTGGGATATTTCTAAAAGTGGCGTAAACGTAAAACCACTCACTCACTTCTGTATATGGACAGGGTTTTGTATATTTGACCCAACAAATTGGTTTCTTTTACAGGCCGACTCTTTCCAGGAACTGTTGCGTCGCGTTGCTGTGGGCATGCGCTGTAGTGTCTCCACGGACGCATCCTGCCAACACCTGTCATTAAAAGCATTTCTAATGATATCGGCTCACTGCGTTGGATACCTGTTTCATTTTCTGCTGATCAAGCACGCCGAGGGAGCAATCCTTGCATCTTTAGTTCAAGCCATGAGAACCCCATCGCGTCTATATTCTGGACGCTGTATCATTACAACGAGGATTTAGATTTGTTGTACTGGTCCCCGGAGTTCAACATAACCACGTGTTTTTTGATAGGAGGACTAATTATTGTGATGCCAGCTATGCTTGTTTATAACTACTTCAGCAATGAGGAAATGAAAAGTGTGTATATGAGGGAACGACAGCTGCTTGTACCTGGCAATGAAAACATCAATTCATAGTGTGGAATCCATCTTTCATAACATGCGGTGTTTGGTCAGAGGTTTGTCATCCACCAATATACTGAACACGATACCCTCCCCTAACGCTTTTCATATTTTAGGGGCGGTTGGGTAGCCTTGTGGTTAAAGCGTTCGCTCGTCAAGACCGGGTTCGATTGCCCACATAGGTACAATGTGTGAAGCCCATTTCTGGTGTCCTTGGTGATATTGCTATGATATAGTTAGAAGCAGCGTAAAACTAAACTCACTCAATACTCCTTATTTTTGAGTGACCCCAATGCCGTTGTATATTTTTTGAATGATTTTCCATGACAGCTTGGTATCCCATTGAGAAATAAAGTATGTGGAGTTGATATGTGTCGGATATAATACCTCCAGGAACATTAACCTCAACCCTTCCAATCCAACCCCCTTAATTTGAAGGGGCGGTGGGTTAGCCAAGTGGTTAAAGTGGTTAAAGCGTTCGCATGTCACGCCGAGGACCCGGCTTCGATTCGAACATGGGTACTCAACTCAACGTCATTCGTGACCAACTATTTTGTATGGTGTTATTACCGAGGACAAACCGAATAGCGACTCGTGCCCCTCTGGAAGGATTTCATATTGGCGTAGGAACATCAGAACTACTTCAAACAGGAACGATAACTCTATTCCTGTTTGATTCCTTCAAATGGTACTTAATATCACCGAATGGTATACTCATACATTGTATTGTATTGCTGTTGTTTTTGTTATTTATTCTAAAGAATTAAACATCCTTGGTACAACTAAAAGAAAGAAAAACCATATTTGTTAAAGACAGATTCTGACGTAATTATTACCAGATATTCACCTTATACTTCCAATTATATTTCTGAAAAGGGTTTAATAATAACAAATGGGATTTGTTTTATTGAATATGCAAATAAAATTTGTAAAAAACCCCGCTACATTAAATCCCAAAGCAGAAACTAAAAAATGACTTTTTAAGATATTTATCAAACTGAACATACGTGTAACCTTGCTGTCATACCACAAGTGGACTTTTAACTGAATTCGCTGAAAATATATGAATGACCACAAGAAGGTCAGACTAAAATATTCCCAGAGAATTGAAATATATGCCCTATGTTATATATTAAAGTTGATTAGGTACATAAAGATATAATATTACTGTTTTAAAACTCGAAGCGATTTATAATTACATTTCCTAAAATTGTTGGAAGCGCACGTACAATCTCCATAGCAAGCCCGCAAGATCGTCAGAAACACACTCAGTTGGACCAATGAGAGCCGTTATGTCAACAAACGCACGTGCGTGTATTTGAATCTCTCACCGTCAATCGCATGATATCTTATCAAAATCCTGTTAGCTAAGTTCTTTGTACTTTCAATATGACGATATATATTTTTCATGATTTTTTTAAACAATGACATAATGCCATAAACGATTTAAGTACTCAGGATTATTTTACCAAAGCGCCGCAGTCATTTACGCGCGTTCTGATTGGTTTGTCGTATATTCGCACATAACAAGCATCGAGAGGGACGAGTCTTCTTGCGGGTTACGGAAAGGGGCGTGATATTCCTGGTCAATATTGCTAAATGCGGCGAAAAACTGAACTCACCCACTCACCATAATTTGAGGCATGGTTAATTTTGTCTGACATCGAATTTGTTACATTAAACTCGACCCTCAATACAATTAATTTTGTATGGTACCAACGCTTACGCGGCTTCTATACTGGTGTAACTGAGACACAGAACAAGAACTGAAATTTGACACCACTTTAATGATTTCAGAAAATATGCGCCGAACTGCCTCCGATGAAGAGTCCTGAAATAAAATATACATGTATTTGATAATATAAATGTTAATGATAATACAGAAAAAGGTATATACTCTATTTCTTAATTTGGGTCCATGACGGGAAAACTGGGCATGCAGCAAACTGTACTTCCTGAGACGGAGCACTGGTGGCCCTGTCGCAATTGCAATAGGCTATGCAGAGTTGCGTCCCTTGCGCACGCAGAAATCGAATAAAAATGTGGGTTAAAAGCACAGTTCGCCTCGATTATGAAACAAAAATAAGGTGTGAAAATTGAATATTGTTTTAAATGTTAGATTTTATCGTGGTAAGAGTTTCTCCCGTTTCTCCCATATAATATGTATATATTAATATATATTAAAATTATTAACAAACCCTAACACAACAATTCCAAGAGAACTCACAAAAATTAAACAAAGCCCCAAAATTATTTACAGTATATAGGGTCGTTGCGTTACCTCTGTTAATCTGCCGAAGAAAGAAGTGGGGGAACGGAAGGAACTGTTTCCTATGTTCTTTAAAGAAGTGATTCATATCAATTTGCTTGTAGCCGAAATTGAACATTTTTATGATTCTGATTTAAATTCTATTTGATATTGCCGTCTTAATATTTAGAGTGAGTTTGTTGTTTGTTAACAATTAGGAAGTTCTACGTGATACAAGTCTCATATTATATACCATTTCGCTGAAACACAACATGGGTATGGTTCTGACAAAACTAGAAACATGGCGATTCTATGATTCGAAGCCACAAACAACGTTCCTGTCGACAGGGAGGCAACTCTGTAGAGTGAGTCAGTGAGTTGGGTTTTACGCCGCTTTTAGCAATATCACGGCGGGGGGTACCAGAAATGGGTTTAACACATTGTACCCATGTGGAGAATAGAACCCGGGTCTTTGGCGTGACGAGCGAACGCTTTAACCACTAGGCTACCCCACCGCCCCAAAACTCTGATTGATTCCTTGTCCCGGATATTTCTTATATACTCTTCCAAAAAAGTAGGGGAACTTCATGTTTAATTTACGATTGAAAAAACTGGGAGATATATCGGAGTCAATCAATGTTGATGTGATAATGTTTTGAGAGTGCATCACCACTTGCACTTCCTTATGACCATAGTTGTTTGTACAGTAATCGCTCTTGAAAGGTGATTGGTGCATGACGTGAAATTTGCAAGTGTGCGATTTTCATTTTTTTAAAAGAAACAAAACGGCCAGAAACAAACACTAACAACTGTGTGATGCAAGGTGATTTATACTTCCTATTCAACTTGAAAGTTTAGGTTCCCCAACTTTTTTAAAGAGTAGGTTCCGTCATGTACAATTACTCACATGTTAGTAGTAGAAGTTCCGGTTCGCCATGCTGCTAAGTAAACGGCTTTTCCTCCGTCCGCTTCCATAAAACTTCAGCTTTCCAGTAAACTCAATCACTACTTGACGATTGGCAGGCCTAGGATCATATAATTCCGATTCGTAACCAGTATAGGCATTGGGAACCTCGGGCTCTGAAGGGTAGGGGTCGTAGCCGGGCTCTGAAGGGTAGGGGTCGTAGCCGGGCCCTGAAGGGTAGGGGTCGTAGCCGGGCTCTGAAGGGTAGGGGTCGTAGTAATCACGTTGTTTGTCGTCATGGGCCGGCTTCTTGTACGTGGCATAGTCATCTTTTCGGCTGTCATAATAATAGGATGGCTCTTTCTTCTCTTTCGAGAATAGCCGCTTGAAAGTAGAAGGCTTCTCCCCTGCACACGCCCCAATGACGAACATAGCGATAAGGAGCACTTGAGTTACAACCTTCATTGTTGGACTCTGAAATAGTAAGTGAGTGACTTTTGTTAAAGGCCGCCTTGGACGCTATCGCAGTAACGTTAGTGAGTGTGGTTTTACGCCGCATTTAGCACTATTCCAGCAATATCATGGCAGGGTTACACCAGAAATGGGTTTCACATATTGTACCCATGTGAGGGATCGAACCTGGTCTTCGGTATGGGAAGCGGACGCTTTAACCACTAGGCTATCCCAGCTTAATGTGGAGAGAGTGCTTGGAGTGATTCAGGTCCGAGACGTTGACAAACCCGTACAATTCGCAAGCACGGGTAAGGTGATGGCACACTTAGAAACATAACCGGGGCGGACATGGATTCGAACCCACAGCCACAAATTTCTGTCTGCGTTCGCTCGTCACGCCGAAGACCCAGGTTCGATTCCCCACAATGTCTGAAGCCCATTTCTTGTATCCCCAGCCGATATTGCAGGAATATTGCTAAAAGCGGCGTAGAAGTAAACTCACCCACTCACCCTAACGTGTCAAAGGGACGCAACTCTGCACCGCAAAATGCGGCACCACACCACACTGGGCCACCCGTGAGTGAGTGATTGACTAACGGTAAGTGAATGAATACAACTGCAGTCCAGCTATATGCAGTTCCGCCATATAGTTGGAATATTGCTAGGTGCGGCGTAAAACTAAGCTCACACCCAAGAGTCGCGGTATATTGCCCCTGGAGGTCTACTGTTGTTAGTAGAAACATGTTTCCTATTCTTCAAAAATATTTCGAAATTTAAGAAGCTATATTTTCCAATCCATAATATGATTCAATCCCAAAACTTCGTAAAACCAAAGCCATTTGAAGCCATGACGAATGTAAACGCAACATCAACGTCAACGTCAACGTTTACAATCCGCAATATCTACCGAAACAGATTCAGCAGAGTATAAATGGCAACGTTGTAATGAACATTATGAGAATGTATGACTGAACATCCGTAATAAAAAGAGCTGTGTTTATTTTTGCAGTAAAGTGGGTACGCTTCAGGAGCACCTGCTACATCATAGGTGCCGGTGACTCCATGTAATTGTCAAAACATTTCTCTTTAGATGTAGCACTACATCCTGGAAGAAATATATCCGAAAAATGTCCGTTCAAGTCTATTTGGCAAGTCTGAAGTAAGCAAATCTGAAAATGATGAAAGTTTGGGGTTTTTTTTAAATTATATCTTAGTAACATAAATTACGAACTTTTCTTCTGTAAAAGTTTCATTTCAGAGATTAGATTCTTGATGCAGCACATTTACTGGTTTATGAAACATAAACCAAGAAAAACGATATAGATATTTAATAATGGAGCGGTTTTGGGTTCATTCACTGTCACGAAATGCAGGTTACAGGAGAAAACAAACTAATACTTTGTTAATTATTTTGACTGTGACAATACGTTATTCGAAGGACTGGATTATCTTAACATTATTCACGGAATGGGCAGTGTGGGTACAGGACCAAACCTGGTCTGGTGCAGACTGGTCAGACTTATTTTATAGACCGCCGCTATGCATACAGCTGGAATATAGCTGAGAGCGGCGTTAAACAACAACCAAACCAAACCTCACGCTGCAACGAAGACTCTCTAACACCGGACGTTTGACGCCGCTATTACATTTTAATTTTACATTTCGATGTCCCCAAAATATAAAAATGAAAATTATTTCTACACAGGAAATGTCAGATAAATTTCAGTCACACATCATGCATCGCTCCTATCCCTTATTTGA